CATGTTATGCTGCATTTTGTAAAGAAGTCAAACAATCGATTCTGTTTGTTCCAAAAATGTTCAACTCATCGAAAGGAAATACTTCATGCTCTTTAGAGAATGAAAATGTAAATAAAATTTCATTTTAGTTAAGACTTCTTACGCCTGCTTCATTTCATTTTTGTTCTATTCATTTCTCGTTCTGTTGGTTTTTTATACAAAACATGAAAATTATCTCTAAATACAGAGTGGAAAGATTTAGGTTTTGACGCTTTGGTTGGTTTTTATAAGCTAGTAGCAGCAGGGACGACTTCTTGAATGTGTCTTTGAGGTTATAAATCAATTGTTATCCATGACTTCCGGAATTTTGATCTCTATTACTGGCTACGGCTGACTACAAAAGTTTAATCTATTTGACTATGGATCATCCCAAAAAGTAAAACTTGACAGTGCCCAGAAATTAATGAAATAGAATTATGGCTTAAAAGTACCAAAGTCTTAAAGATCCAAGCTCTTAATATTAATTCCGGTCACTGACATGTACTTAATGCCAACAATCTTCAAGAGAGTATTCAAACATTCACATACATATAAAAAGAACCATATCAAGTTGAAGATACAGAAGAGCTAAAGAGAATGTAGAAATTTTAAAAAAAAGTTCATCGATGCATTAAACAAAATTCCATAAGAATGAATTTCTTATGCTTTGCATATTGAAGAGATACATTCGAGTATTTGTGTAATATAATACGGTACCATTCATTCAATTCAGCACACTAAATAATAATAAGAAGGAGCAAATAATACGAGAAAAAAAAACTATTCATGATGAGATTATATCATGAATGCATGCATTCTCAACACAAAATAATATCTAAATGTATGGATTGAACTAAATTGGAAAATTTGCAATGCATTGCAATGAAATTCTTTGGCAGATATGCTTGAAAATTTAAGAAGACAATTGAAGACTATAGTCTGAGTCTGGGGGGTATTTAAAAATGATGTATGTGACTCAAAATTTAATTTTGGACCCGAATGACACAAAGTAATTTTTTTGGGTGTTTTAAAGCCTCAATACTAGATCAAGCTTATGATAGATGTCATTTAAGTAAAACCCCAGCACTCCTTACAATGTAAAAGGTTCAGCCATTCTCACAATTTATCTACAATTCACAACTATTCTTCTTCAAACAAATAAATTAAATTTGGTATTCCTTCGATTGTAAATTGGATTGATGGAAATGCCACCAATAATGACATTTATGTCTATCTTAGGGTTCATCACATCGAGATTGAACTTTTTCTCTGATTTGTTGCTAAAGGTAAAATGAAATTCAATTTAACGAATCCATTGTGTAAAGCCACAATTTTTTTTTCCTTAACTAAATCGACCATCTTCAAATGAAATTTCCGAAAATCATCAAAGAATTATGAAAATAAAATTTAATTGACCCAACGCAGCAACAACAAAAATAAGAAGACTCATTGTTTCAGCTTTAAAATGAGATTCCATCAGACTTAAGAGCTTTGCTGACTTTTTCAATTTTCTTTTTATTCCATTTAATCTTCGTTTTATTTCTATAATCATGCTGATGCATCATGATGATTTCATCAGACAGACTGTGTGAGATATTTTTTTGATGAGGAGCAGGGAAGATTCTTTTATGGTCAAGAGGAAGTAACATGGAAAGTTACTTTTGAGTGAAAATCAGTTCGTTTAGTCATGATTTTTGGTGGAAATTTCTTTTAAAATGTGTCAAAGCTTAGTTGTGTATTGATTAAAATTTCAGGTCAATTAAGTTCTAGTCGAGAAAAGAAGTTCAACTTTTACAGTCTATTGTTGATTTAATGAACTAATAATCTCGATCATGAATCACACAAGCATCCAAATTAACAACCCTGCTTCATGCTCATACAATATAAGCTTTAATATCTGCAATATAGAGAATATTTTCCCACATATATTCAAATAAAAACAAACTCCTTTGTCTGTACGTTACGAAATCATAAAAGTTGGATATTATTTTTTTGTTTCGAATTTAATTTCATTAATGCAACAAAAACTCAATTATTGACGCTTATGGAATGGAAAAAATGTTTCGATTTTGTTTATTCAATAAAAAGAAGCAATTTTACAACGAAAAAAACACGAGAATGAGAAAAGTTTTTGAAATTAATTAGTAAAAAAATAGGGGCCGTGTACTTATGATGTCCATCAAAAAACCTAATTTAAACACAAAACTGTCACAGATGTCAATACTATCCCCCCCCCCCCCCCTATTGTGACGTCCAATCAAAGACACAATAAAGTTATAACTTCCCCATTAAAAAATTGGATGTCCACAAATTTCCTGACCCCCCTTCCCCCTTCCTCTCCTGTCACAATGTGTCTCAAACTTTTTGACCCCCCAACTAAATCTTGGACATCATAAGTGAACGGCCCATATCTGTTGTTTCAGTTCATAAAGGAAATTGAAGTAAATTTTGGTAGGGGTGGTGATTGGAGCTATTATTCAATCATAATTAGCAAGTTTTTCAGTCTGTTGTTGATTTAATGAACAAGGAAAAATAAGAAGGAAATAGAGAGACGAATGTTTCAATTAATGAGGCTCATTAGGGGTTAAATGAATTTCTTCTGTTATGCCATGAAATGAGAACAATAAAAACAGACTTCTTTTAAGCTTTTTTTAAGGAACAAAGAAGAAAAGTTTTTTTATTTCAATTTCATTTAAGGAACAAAAAAGGTTCATTGATAAATTTTCCTCCCAAAAAACCTTTTCAGATTTTCTCAAACAGAGCATTTATTTACAAAACTAGAAGCATATCTCGTTAAAAATAATGAAATGCAAAGAAAGTAAATGATTTACATTTAATGCTGTGTTTACAGGAACTTTTCTGTTTACAGTTGAATTGAGGTCATCTCAGGTCATTTTCCTGAAGATTATGTGCATTTTACAAACACCGGAAAGCATACTGCGCTGCATACAGTAAACAATGAAAGACTTTACGATCTAGATTAAACTTTTTATTCACTGTTTATGGTAATTTTTAAGTTTTTTTTAAACAATGATTTCGAAATTTTCCGCTTTGATTTTCCAACAAAGATTAATCAACAAACTATCCAGAACAATTTGTTCAACTAATTGCCATTTATTTGTCATGCAAACATTCATTTGAAATTATATGCCAATCAAAAGTAATACATCAAGTTTGTGTAACTCATCTCTTCTCACTTATTTTAATTACGAAAGTAGAGTGTGAGGGGACGAAAATAGAAATGATTATCTAGGACTGAAATGATACCCAAATGAGAAAAAAGTTAATGAAATTGATAAAAAAAGAGATTTTTACCTTTCAATTAATTGTTTGCCTGGAAAGTTCAGTTTTATCTAGGCTTGGCGTACGTCGAAGCAATTCTTTGAACTATTTTAGGTATGCTGATGTAGGTTTGACACAAAACTAGTGCTTTTAAAGAGTTATATCTATTTAATGACCTCCTGAGCATGGGTTAAGGCTAAGCATAATGTCAACCACATAATTGATACACAAATATTTACTTCTAGTGACGTAAATGCTCCAACTTTGAAATTTTGAACCATATTGACACACAAATGCATTCTAGCCAGTCTCATATCAGCTCTAAACTAAAACAATAACTTTTCAAGAAAGGAACAAAGAAAACTTTCATTTGATGTTAAAATAAAATGAATAAAGATTAATTGACTGTGCAATCAATTTCAAAGAATATGCTTCATTTTAAAATCATCACCAAGCATAGCAATATAAAATCAATAAAAATAAAATTCTCATGAGAGACTTGAGAGCATTAAAAATCATTTAAAACAACCTTTTACCCTTCAAACTGCACATCTTCTTTCAGTCCTAAAAAACAATTCAATCCATTAAATAAGAAAAGAGTTTTATAGTGAAACAATAAAAGCATGCGGCTGATACTAAAAAAATCCATTTACCATTTACAGTTTTATAAAGCGTCAGTCGCCACTCTTTCTGTATTCCGTCTTTGTTGTCTTCAGCATCATAAAACTTGCCTTTTGTCTTGACTCATCGGATTGTCGTACAGAATAAGAATATATCTATGTACATGTGCTAGGTGTGACCTTCTTGCAAACGAATGTCTTGAATGTTAATGAAAGTAAAGTTTTTTTTTATTATTAGGGTTAAGAACGTCGATGTTTGCAGAAAATTGCTGACTTTAATATAATTTGTGGTTTGATGCCATGTCACACCTTATTTGTTTGCTTGATTCTCTGCATATGGGCATAAATGTTTATCTTCCTTACATGATGAAGAATTTTAAATTCTTTACGCTTTTGCATTTCATCGCGGATTTTTTAAATTGTTTGCAATCAATTCCTTGCATGTCTTGTTGAGGTTTAAAGTATTGTATGCTGTAAGTTTATGGCTTTTTAAAATTTCAACAATAATGACGATTTTTGGCGGCAATCGTGTTTAGTTTTGATGTAAAATCTATTGACTATGTATTAGCTTATAGCTCACGGACTATAGCTAAACTTAAAAGATTCTCTAAAAATAATTCATAAATACGCAAAAACAATAATATAAATTTTAATGATATTCCAATTCACGTGTGCTAAAGATTTTCATGTAACTGTTTCCAAAAAAGTAGCCACAACAATATAAATTACAGAGAATGCCACTCCTTAAAATATCTTATTAACACATTCAAGGTGCCTCTTTCCATCCATATGAATATCTATTTCATAAACAAGCATTGTTAAATGATTTCTGCTTAGAATTAGCAAAAAAACTGGTCAAGCAAGAATTACAAAGAATTGTTTTTCAATAAAAATCTTCCTAACTTGACACATTTCGCACAAAAGCACGTAGACATAACATTCTGAAGTTCATACTTGCTTTGAAAAATTAATAAACAAGATTTAATTTTTGCAAAGTCATCATCATACTGCGAATTTTTATATTAGATTTATGTTGGGATGACGTTATTAAACCTGTTATTTCTTATTATCTCTTTTCAGATCAAAGAAACTTTCTGTCCGGTTGAATTGATGTAGAGAAATTATCAGCTTTTTTGGTGAGTATTTATGAGAATTTTTTTCGATTGTTTCTATGAGTAGTGTCTACGTAGAGTGGAATCTTAGGTATCAAAATATAAGAGAAGAATCTGTCAGTTTAATAATGAAGTCTTATTGGTTGATTGGATAGAAAATAATTTGAAACTTTCTCGACGAAAAGCTATCATTTATGAACGAGTCTTGAGTTCGATTCCTACCAGAACGAGTCTTTAATTAATCTTATATTCCTAAATTTTGAAAATAATAAATCAGAATAAATCCTAAAACTATCGAATCCGATATTAAGGAGACCACGAACTAGGTTTTAAGACTAGGAGAATAGGGATACCTAAAGGACCCCTTAATCTCTTTCTGTCATCCTTAAATAGATACCTATCGATATGACTAAGAATCCACACAATGCTCAAGACACTACACAAAGAAAACCCAAAACAAATACAACGGAATCACTTAGCAATTTTATTGACCTGTTGAACACTCTCAATTACCTTAACGGGAATACAAAAATCATTCAAAACCAGAAAAGAACATATAAAAGACTCATAATATTTAGAATATAAAATGACAGTGCGTACACAAGAGAGTTCATGAGCTAAAAATTACACGACAAACAAGAAAAGAGAACAGAAAATTCTCACAGGAAACGAGAAAGATAATTTCTCAGCGAAGCTAGTCAAAGCAACAAGCCAGGAAGGAACAGAAATTAAATTTAAAATTCAACAACAGCAAAAGAATAATTCATTTTTGTGAAATTATCTCGAGACATTATCATTGTCTTTTTTGCGACTGCTTTGCTTTCTTCTTTCATGTCTTGAGCAGTGTCACTGTCAGATGACTTGAAGGGATTTCTCTCTATGCTTTCAACTTTTTTTTTTGGAAGTAGAAGAAAAAAAAAGGATAAAAGCGTAAAAGGAGCTTCCTTTTCACTTTAACTTTATGTCAAAGCTTCAAGGATGGAAAAAAAATTAAATAAACAGAAAAAAAATTGTTCAAAGTAAAAGTAGCAATGGCATTAACAGAATGATATGGAAGTCTTCTTCTTAGTAATACGTAAAGACACAAGAACATAAAGAACTTAACGTTATGAAATTTTAATTCTTTATGAAAGGTAAAGAGCATGCGACGGGACGTTGTTCAATATTAACTTAGCAATCTCATTTATTCCGCAACTTTTGATGCTTTATGACACGGTTGGGTGTGGGTTGTTTTGTCTAGTTGTCTACTTATGTTATTTTATTCGGCTCTATATTCAAACTGAAGATTCACTGGACTAGAAAATTAAGGGGTCATAAATGCTGAAGCTATCAAGCTGTTTTTAGAATTCTGAAATAGCCTACAGTAATGTACATACGATCTGAATCATATGCTTCAATTAAATTAATTTCACCATACCCAGCAACTGACTTCCAAATGCGCTATCTAAATGATATAAATTATCTCAAAATTTTCTTCTACGTCATAGCAGTTCACTCAGTGCTACTTACTCATGAACTTCAATATTAAATGAATTTAACTTAAGGCTGCGATGGAAACACTTCCTTCTACGAATCCAAGCTTGTGTCTTACGTCAGATTCAATTTTCCAGTTGAAATCGGTTTAGTAATTTAATTTCGTAGCTTTTTTTAAAAGGCGTATAGACATGGTGAAGCTTATAACAGCAATACGACATAAGCCTCCTTCCATCCTACCTTTTTTTCCACATCCTTGTCTTATTTCATTTTGAGCTCCTTTTTACAGCAATATAAAGTAATAGCTTTAAGCCGTTGGGTCGTCGTGCACTGAATTTTCATTTTCATTTTATATGAAAATTCTAGATTGGAACCTTATTTTAAAAGTAGATTTACAGTTTGTTATCGTCTTTTGCCTACCATTTTTATAACTTCCATTTTCAGTCAGCTTAATGTTCCTTTTATTATCATTATGAGCTTTAACCTTCGTTATCATGATATAATCCACTTTCACGTGATTCTCTTGAGGATTATCATCCGATTTACTTCTTGTTTTCTCAACTTTTTCATCTTCTTCTTGCTTAACGCTTTTGGTATCTAAAAGAAATTTCATCATAATTTCTTGGAAAACGGGATTTTGTGATGTTTGAAAACTCAGCCACGCGACTACGGCGTTTTTATGAAATTAATTGATTCAATTTAACAAAGTTTAATTAATTTGAGAAAATTAATTATGTTTGATTAATGAGATAAGATTGACGACTGTAAAAATATTCATAGAAGAAAGATATTTTTAGAATAAAGAGCATTTGATTGTTCCTCAAATTAAATCTGAGGATTAAAGATTATGAGAGAAGTTGATTTAGAGAAAAATATTGAAAGGACCATTGTAGCTAGGGGGCCGTTCACTTTTGACGTCCATCAAAAAAATTAATTTTAGACCAAAACAAAACTGTCACATATGTCAATCCCAACTCCCCTCCTTGTGATGTCCAATCCAAGACACAAAAAAATTATAATTTCCTGATTAAAAAATTGGATTTCACAAATTTCCTGAAACCCCCCACAATGTGGACAGGACATCATTGGACGTCATAAGTGAATGACCCTTAGACTTAGAGATCGTAAAACAAATAGAAAGATTTCAGTAAACTGATTGATAAGTAAGTAATGAAATCTGTGTGATTAGTGTCATTCAAGGACGTTCTTACTAACTTCACTCGTGATACAGATCAATTGTGATCCATAATATCCCTCAGATATCGCTAGAAGCTGTCTTTATTGTTGGCTCCCGCTTACCAATTTCTAAGTCAAGGACGTAGCCAGTATTATTTCAAGGGGTGGAAAAACATTTTTTGTTGCTACACTCTAAGTCTTTTACTTGTTGTTGCAGTCCAGAACCCTTAGGCCCTCTCCACGGCCACGATTGTGAATCTAGTGAGTCTCTATCGAACCCTGTCAAATATGGCAATAAATCAAACTTAGTGTTCGAATATAACCCGTTGCTCAGTTAAAACTCAGATCTGCTAAAGCCTGTTCAACGGGTTTATAACAACTAAATGTCTGCATAGCTGATCTGTATAGGTCTGTGATTTACTTAAGGTTCGATTCTAAATAAATTCATATTAAGTTGCAACAAGCAAGTCCATACAAATGAACATAAAAACACAACTCCTCCAAATTTTTCAAAATGAGGTTCACTCAATTGAAAGTGAAATTTCTCCAAAATTTCAAGAAATAAAAGTAATACGCACTTCATTTATTCACCCTTTAAACGACTTTCTCAATTCATTTACAAGATCATTCACCGTATAAATGAATCAAAAAGCCAAAGAATTTTATATTTTTTATCTTCAAATTATTAATGAAGAAAGCAGCAACATTTGTCATTACTAACTATAAAACATTTTTTATGTTTCTTTCACTTCTTTCCTGACTCTGTAATTAAGACATGCTAACAGCATTCTCATGCTGTAATTCACGTACATTTTTCAAATTCATCATTTGGTGAAAAAAAGTAACATTTATTACCATAAAGAAAAGGCGAAACTCATACCGTGAAGATTCCCAAACTCATTATTCGAGAGACATTTATAAGCTTGTTACCGGTCATAACATTTCCTGTCTGCCTTCTTCATTTCTTTTATGACCATTCTTATCTAATTATTATTAATTAAAATGTGGAGCAAATTTTCATTTCTGTCAGGTTTTATGACCAATAAGATGCAATAAAACAAAAATGTTCTACATTTAATAAATTATTGATGCAACCGCTGTTGAAGTTTCTTTTATTCGTTCTTCAAACGATGATAATTAAATGGTCATGAGGTTTTTGTTATCGTGACGTACAAATCAACTGAGAATGAAATGAAAGAAATTATCTTAATGCTTTCTACGAAATTTATGCTTTGTGCGTTTAGTTCTTTTGAAAATGGAAAGTGAAGTCAACCTTCAACCTTTATCTTCATCTTGATACTCCCGAATCGTGGAATTTCGAGGCTTTTGAAGTAAAATGCTTGATGACAGTTAATGTTAGGATGACTTTTAAAAAATCGCAGGACTTCCAAGTATTCGTTCTGGTATCTTGACTACTCATGTTAAGTCAAGTTCAATTAATGTTCAGTTTCAGTTTAAGTAATATTTTTGACAGCTCTATCAGACATTGACTTACTGATGCAGAAACAGAATTAATTGACTTTCATTGAATTATTGTCAGCGTTCATGAGGAAAATGTATCGAAATGTGCTGACCATATGCGCTTTTTTTTTGTTGATTGAGTGCTATTCAAATTTTATTGTTTTACACGGTCAAGCATGACTGAGTAGTTTTATTGTTTTACTGTCGATATCGTCCTTAAGATTAATTGGTTTCCTAGGTAGGAGATGTTCATAAGTGATGTATGGTAAAAGTAATTTTTTTAAGAACATTCTTGCAGCCACAAAAATGTGAAGCTGACTATGCTTGTATAGTTTTAAGCAAGGAGTAGTCAACCTATGAGCCGCGACACACTAGTTTTTCGGAAAGGTCTTTTCATTAAACCGCGAAAAAAGCTTTAAATTCAGAGTGTGCTTCACTTAATGAGGTTTGAACACCACTGCTCTAAATTTCTCCTCCCTCAATCTTGAGGCTGGTTTCTAAAGCTATTTGAAGCACTCTTCCCTAGTTGCTTCAGATAAATTTTATTGGAGTCCCATATTGTAGTACATCGAATTTTAATCCTACTCTAGAATGCTTATTAAACCGGCTCTTGAACATCATTTGTGAACAGCCCATAAGTTAATTGCTTCGAAAACTATTACGAAATCCAAGAAATCATGCACATTTACTCGTAAAACTTACCTTCCTCAAAATTAACTTAGTTATACTCAAGAAATTTCTCAGTCATACATGAATTCACCTTGATTTTAAGTTTATTAAAATATTTTTACAGAGAATAAATAAGAAACTGTTCTCCGTCATACATGAAGAAGCATGTTGATGAAATAAATGCTGGTAGATATTATTCAGCTAGTAGTTTTTAAATCCGAAAGGAATTTGAGTATGAAATCAGA